TATCGTTGGTTGAAAATGTGATGAAGATTGTGGTTGAAGTCGCGAAAAACTTGAAGTCGAAGCAAGTGAAACCACATTGTTATAAATCTCGGCTGTGTTATGTATGCCGATATAAAGGACATTTAGCTCATGATTGTCCTGATCAAATGAAGTATTGAGATTTGAAGTGTAGTGTAGAAGTACCTAAAAATGGAAACGTAGGTATTAACAAAATGAATGAATTGGAAAAACGAAAGAATTATACATATCTGAATAACGAGATTGAGGATATAAGGTTTATGAGGTTTGAAGGCAATAATAAATATATGAAAAGTATTCAAAGGCGTGGTGGAAATGCTAAAATACATAAGCCAAGAGCGAAGAGAAAAGTGAATGTTAGTTCAAGTGGTCAATACAATTCAAAAATGAAAAGAACAAAAATAAACAACAAACATGAAGGCTCTAACGAAAAGAGGACATCCAATCATTATAAAGAAGCCGTTAATAATGGATGCATAAGGAATTTGAAATGTGCAGAAAATGGTGGTTTATATGAGCGGCATGATCTTGGGTTATGTAATCGAAATCGAATGGGTCGAGCAGTGATAAATCAAGTGGACCACTGTGATGAAAATAGAAAATTTGGGAAAATTGGCTTGGGGGATAGAGGAGAAGTCTATCCGAATAATGATGTTGATAAAGCAAATGATGTTGGGAATTGTTATCAAAGAGAAGAGACGATAGTAGTAATGGAAGCACCATTAGTCGAAGTAATGAGAATGGATGCTATGATGAAAGATTTATTAGAATCATTAATAAAAACTGAATCTAATAGTAATGAGGTTAGCAAAGAGAAAGATGTGATCAAGATAGTCGAATTTAATCAAGCATTCAGAGACAAAGACATTGAAAAGGATGAGTTCAAAGCATCCATCTATTATCAGGAATCTGCTGACACGAGTGATGCTGGTGAAGCATCTATTGTTGGACATTGTTACGATAATAGAAACGATATTGAAAAGGATGAAAGTAAAGTATTCATCCATTATCAGAAACCTTGTAAGATGGGATCTACTAAAGAAATAAATATCGCTGGTGATTGTTATCAACATAGAATCGGCGTCAAAAAAGATGAAAATAAGATACTTAGCCAGTATCTGAATTCTGATAAAAATTGAAATTCGAATAGAAGAAGTAATCTCAGATCCCACCATAATGAAGATGCAGGTACAACCAAAGAAAGTGGTGATTCGATTGATGTGAATGAAAAGAAAAGTAACAATTTGCTGATATTAAGTGAGAAAATAATTCAAAGAAAGCAGGCTGAGGAAATAGCCCGAAGAAATGAACATGGTGAAAAGGTGTGTAATAAAGCCGCTAAAAATGATCAGAGAGAATATTTTGAAGCGATGGTAACTCAGAATGGAATAAATGATAAGAGTAATAGATGTATGGGCAATACAAATGAAATGGTTAAGATTGGACATTATTATCAAAATGAAACTGATAAGGATGAGCATAAATCGTTCATTCATCATCAAAGGTCTGTTGACCTAAAAGACCCTGGTGGAACCAGAATGAATAGCCTTGAACATTGTTATATAAAGAGAACTGTAGCTGAAGGTGATGAGATAGAGGCATTCATTTAATGGCAAAGGCCTACAAGAATAGAAGAACATGAAGTATTCGATTGTTACCAAAAATCTAATGATGATGGAACGTACGATACTAGAAGCTGTTGTCAAAGCAGTGAAGAGGATGAACATAAGGAATTCATCTGTTATCAAAAATCAGCAGATATGGGTTATGCTAGGGAAATGTTAACGCCCAAGTGTTGTCAAAATTCTGCCGATGTGAATAATGCAGATAAAGGTGTAGTTACAATGTGCACAATAAATAGTGACGAAAAGGAGATCGATGAAAGTGATGGTAAGAATATGATGAAACCTGAAAATATAGATGATGTTGATGAAGCGGTAAAAAGGGTGAAAGTAAATGGAGGATTTGCAAGAACGTCAATTAGGCTTAGTTCGAATGTGAATAAAATAAGCATGGAGTATGTGAAAAAGAAAAGACATGCCTGGAAATGTATAAATAAAGGAACTAGTGGTCATAATGAGTTCGTTGGTTATGTTCCCGAACTCGAGGTTGATGTTAATGGTGTTAAGGTAGTTCAGAAGTTCTATGTAAAGCATGGATTAACTTCTGATGTCATTCTTGGAATGCCATGGATCACAAAAACAAGGTGTGGCTTCAAGTAGAAGGATGGAAAATGTTGTTGTACGATCCAATCCGGTTATGGTGAAACAACATTTGTGATTTCAGATGAACTAATCGTTGATGAAAACGTTATCAATAAAGAAAGTATAATGAAGAATGATGATTAAAGAGAAGATAAATTTGTAGATGTTAGGTGTGTTAAAGGTGAATTGATTAAGGATGATCATGTTAATGGTGAAGAAGAGAAAAAAAGGATCGTTAATAAAAAGAAGAACTTTGATGAATCAAAACAGATAGGTAAAATAAAAGATGAAAGTATACCTGACGTATCCTATGGAAATGATGATGAAAAAGAATTGAAAAAATTTGTAATCGATAATAGTGATGAAGATCATGTTAATAGAACATATAATATTGGTTATTGCTACGAAAATGGAATCGAAATCACGAGAAGTAAAAGCGATGAAAATAAAGTGTTCAATTATTATCAAAGATCAGCTGAAATAGGTCGAGTTGATGAAATATATAATCCTGACCGAAATAGAATTGATGTTGAAAGGGACGAACATGAGATGTTCGTTAATTATCAAGAACATGCTAAAGCAAGTAATGATGAAGAATTATATGTTGTTAGACATCATTATAAAAATAGAATTAATGGTAAGAATACCGAAAAGAGAACTTGTGATGAAAAGGATGGACATAAGATGTTCGTTAATTATTAAAAATATGCTGATATAGGTAATGCTAACACTATGTGTAATCGTGGTAGTTGTTATGAAAATAGAATTGATATAGAAAAGAACGAACATAAAGCATTCATGTATCATCAAAAGGTATCAGATATGAATGAGATGAGGGAATCGAGCTCAGATTGTAGAGCTGAAACTGATTATGAGGGTTGCAATGGCGAAGCACATGATCTTGGATTGGATTATAAAAATAAAGAAAGCATCAGATTAAAAGGTACATTTCTGGAATATCCGAAAACGATGTAAATATTGAATAGCATGTTAAAGATTAAACATAATGTGAAGAGTTTCATAAGGTTGAATGGAGTGAGCTGCCGAAAGACGAAAACAAATGGCAGTAGAAAGGTTATGGAAAATGCATTGCGAGAATTGAATTGAAACCCAATGATAATTGAAAACATTGGAAGGATGGATTTTTCAAACGACTGTACTTAGACCATATGGTTGGGAATGATGGATTGGTTAGTGCAGTATTTGGTAGTCGTTTAGAAATGAAAAAACTTGGTAGAATGGATATGAGTTGTTGTAACTTCGGGGACGAAGTTACTGGGGTTCTAGCTCGTGTCACAGTGCTATGCAGTACCTCTGTAACTAATGATCGGGTACGTATGTGTCGTGATATAATTAATACGTAATTAATATCGGGTGATCACAACTTAATTAAAAGTCTAAAGTATTGATGCATGAACAATGAGTAAAGTATGTAATAATCAGTGACGCAAATGCATATTAGTAATAAATAAATAAGGTATTGATCCAAAAGGGGAGATACCAGGTTAAACCTTAGAGAACTTTGAGTTCTTTGAAAGTATTCTTAGTGAATAAACTGT